CCCCCCCCCCCCCCCAGCCCGGCCATGCCCGAGCGAGGCAATGCTCGGAGAGGAGAGCTAATTACCTGCTAATTGGCTGGTTGACAGGCGGCAGCCCTGCCTGCAGCCCGCTGAATAATGTGCCTTTATTAGCGTGCCCAATTTCCCGTAAATAACGGGAATGTGTTAACTTTCCGTGCTCTGCCCTATCTGGTGATGCTGTTTGAGGGTCTCAGCCAGCGTTGGGGGGCTGCTGCCTCCCCGCTCTGCCCCCTCCCACCCTCGCCTACCTTGATGGCGGCCGTGGCGATCTGGATGTGGTGGAGCCGGCGGAGTGTGCTCTCCCTGTCGATGAAGTAGGAGGCTGCCAGCTGGTGCAGGGTCTCCAGAGAAACCCCCGAGCTGTTCCCAGCCCCCACGGCGGGCTCTGCCCTCCGGCTCAGCTTGCGCTTGTCCACAAAAATGGTCAGGGACTCCTCTCCTGGGTAGGGGGGACACACACACAATGCTTTTGGGAGGCTGCTGGGCTCCCAACATTCCCTATCTTGGCCGTATTTCCCCCTGCAGTTCTTATTTTCCCGCTCTCCCTCCTCTGCACGCTCCTTGTGCGAGGGAAGTGAGTTGGGTGAGGGCCACAGCACTCACCTCCCAGCGTGGCAGCCAGCAGAAAGTGGGTCCCATACTTTTTGATGAGGCTGTCGGTGATCTGCTGGGGGCTGGGCCGGCGTCCCAGCAGCCGGATGTTGCGGATGAATTCGGGGGCCAGGGGAAGCGGCAGGCTGAAGAAGTCTTTCCTCTCCAAGGCCAAGTTATTCACCTTCCAGCGAGCAAACTCCCTGTGGGAGGAGAGCAGCAGTGGGGAGACAGTTTGGAGCAGGTCTGGCCGTGCCACATGCATGCTCTCGCTTCTTCTGTCCACAGGTGATGAGTAGCTGGAAAACTCCTCTCAGGATCATTCCGACCTCCCCACTGGAGGTGAAGGATCTGCTGCGTGCTCGCCAGGTATGGATCCAGCCGGGACAGAAGTGCTGTCCCTCCCTAAGGCATTGATGGTGATAACAAGCTACAAGCAGCAGAGATGCCTGGTATCGATTAATCCAGCACCTCCATCAGGCATTCATCACAGCCCAGGGCAGGGCTGGGCCAGATGAGTCTCATCCATCCTCCAAACCCATGCCTACAGATCCAGTGAAAATCCAACATCTGGGGGTATTGTGGTGTCAAGTACGGGCAGTGTTTTGTAGGAAGCTGGAGGTGCTGGGATGCAGTGGGGTTGGTGGTGGGTCCCCTTGCAGCCTCAGAGGCTGTGAATGTGCCCCCTGGCCTCGCCTGGCCCCGGGGAGCAGCACCAGCCTGTCACTGCCTCCAACAACTGATGGTCCCGTATACAACCGGTAGCAAATTTCAGCCTAATCTTTGGCATTTTGCTCTAATTAAAACCAGGCCGTGGCTTTCAGACAGTTTAATTAGGACTGGTGGGGGGGAAAGGGAGGGAGAGGGAGGAGGAGGAGGTGGATGGCAAGGAGGGAGGGGATGGATGCAAAGCAGCCGGAGGGCTTGGTGGATGACAGGTTGCCTCGCATCATGAACTTTGGGCCTAGAAAGTGGGATGTTGGTGCCAGTAGCGGAGCTGGGGGTGAGTTGGGGGAGGATGCTGCCTCTCCCCTTGCAGGCACATTCCCTCAGGATTGGGGCACATGGGGCTGGGGGGCCAGTTTCCTCCATCCCGTCCCACAGGCAAAGCAAGCCCCGAAGGCTGATGGCATGTTCTCTGCCTCAGAGAGGAGGTGTGAGACAGCTGCTGTCCCTCCAGGTCCTCCTTCCTGTCCCACCACCGTCACCAGCAGCATCCCCAGAGGATGTGGGTCCCTCGGCGTGGCAGTGTCAGCACACAGGAAAGGGGACAGAAGCTCTCTGGGGGTGCTGGGCTGCATAAAAAGGCTGCCAACCCGGCAGCCACGTCAGCATTCCCAAGAGGCAGTGGGCAGGCTGGAAACCCCCAGGGCTCAGCACCAGTGGTGAGGAAAGGAAGGGAGAAGGGCTCGTTAGGAGGTGACAGCCCCAGTTACATCTTGGAGGCAGTGGAGTGGGTTTCCCAGGGTGGCAATCATGGGGTGACCCTTTGCTGCAGTTAGTGGACCCCACTGCTGCCAAATCTGGTTCTCTGCTGACAAGAAACCCCCTCCCACTGCATCAGCATCCCACTGCAGCAGTCCAGGGGGTGATGGCACTGGGGATGTGCCAGAGGGTCAGTCAGGGTGGCTTTTCACAAGCCCCAGCAGCATCCCAGCCCCAGATGGCCGCCAGTCCAGGTAGGCTCAGTAATTTGGCACAGAGATGTCTCTGTGCATGGCAAAAGGACAGAGGGGCTGAAGGATGAAGGCCACATGCATGCTTGCCCTTTCTGCTCTCCCCAGTTTCCACCTCAGGACAGATCAGTATGGGCAGGATGTCCAAAGGGGCTGGAGTATGCATGAGACCCATCCAGCCCAGTGGGCTCTGTGTCTCCTGCCATAAGGGCTGATTCCATCTCAACCTCTGCACCAAATCCCTCCCAAATCTTAGGTCAAATCCTGCCTGGAGCCCAGCCTGGCCACCCCATGAGCATCCTGGAGGGCTGCTGTTATATTCCCTGGGAAAGCAGCACCTCACATCCACCCACCCGCTGTCTGTGCCGATGGGCAGCTTCCTCCCGCACACCGGGGTCTGCTCACGTGGATTAGGGAAGGTCTGCTGTGCCCCCTGCAGCCCCCCCATCTCCCTCTCGGGGTACCCATGGCCTCTCACCTGTAGATCCTGTACCTGGTGGTGAAACCCTGCCGGTAGCGCTCCATGAAGTCCACGTAGTCCTGGGCTCGGTAGAAGGGTCCGCGGTCGGTGAGGAGCCAGTCGAGGGGTGCCCGGGCGGAGGGGGAGGAGGAGGACGAAGAGGAAGGGGTCGAGGGGGCAGCATGCTGCTGGGGCACTGTGCTGCCCGCCCCGCCGGCCACCCCCCAGCGACAGCACGCACTCAGGGCCAGCAGGGCCAGCGGCCACGGGAGCATCGGCGGGGGCCCGTCAGCGCGTGGGAGGTCCTGCCGCCCCATCCTGCTGCTGCCCGGCCGGATTCTTCATTCTCTCACCCCACGGCGATCCTCCAGGACAGCCCTGCCCTGCAACGCGGAGCAAGGAAGCCCGTGAGGACTGGGATGTAAACCAGGAGGAAGCACAGGCTTTGGAATGCCTGCTGGGACGCTGGCACGGGGAAAGCTGCGGTCCAGGGAGAGCCACGCGCCAGGCTAGGACTGGTTGTGCCGCACGAGGTAAGGGTTTATGGGGTGCTGGCTGCTGCTGAAGTTGAATGAAATCCTGACCTAATGGCTGTTTGAGGAATTTGTGGCTTTTCCTTTATGTTTTTCTCTGCCGCACATCAGTCCATCAAGCTGAGTTTGCTGCTGTGGTGGGACAGCGGGCTGACTGCGCTCTGCATTTTGGGGCTGCCTATCACAAGCCTGTGCAGCTCATTTCAGGGGGGGCTAAAAAATAATAAGCATAGGGAACTGGGAAAATGAGCTTCTCCAGGTATGGACTGGACCACGTGTGGTTGATGTTAGACTTTTCTTTGTGTCCTCCTAGTGGCTGAGATGATGGATGGATGGAGGTTCACCCCAAGGGTGAGTGAGTGGATGGATGGATGGATGGATGGATGGATGGATGGATGGATGGATGGATGTCCACCACAAGATTGCCTGGGCTGGTTGCAGGGGTGTTTTGAGTGCGAATGTTGTTTATCTCAAGGCTTTTCTACTTTCAAAGCCCAACGTGGCAGTATCTGCAGGACTAAAGACAGAGTTTTTTTGGAGGCAGCAGCCGCAGGGCCAGAGCCTGAATCTGCAAGCAAAGGTGGGAGATGGGGATCTGCAAGGTCTGGCCAAGCCAGGGTGAGGAAAGGTGTGCTGTCAGGTAGCAAGAGCTGTTTGCTTAAAAGCTGGGACCCTGTCACTGCAGTGCTTCCATGGCAGGTGATTTTTATTCCAGGAAGGTGGCTGGTGGGGGCCCAGAGCCCAGGTGCTTGTCCTTGCCGAGCGCACACCAACCCTGCCTTCTCCCAAGCGGGGCTTTGCCGGATGAATCATCATGCTTTAACATGTAATAATATTGGGTTTAAAATTTTTTTTTTCCTCCCTCTTTTCTATTTTTAAACCCTTAAGGGTGCCCTTTGATTACGTTTTCTCAGCTTCTCGCTCAGCCCTTCGAGGCTGGGGCCCTGTGAATTTTAAACAAAAGCTGAGATTTTCGCATCACCAGGTTGGGGTGCCGGGGCAGTGGGGCGGGCAGGGGAGGGCAGGAGCAGCAGGCAGGGCTTTTTCTGTCCCCCTCACACTATCTTTTCGCGTGTCACCCTGGTTTCTCCCATCCTGGCAGGCAGCCACATAACACCCTGGCAGTTGCCTCCAGCTCCTGGCACGTGGAGTTCCCCATGGCCATGAGGTGGCCAAATCCTGGCCTAAAAAAATCAGGACCCCGTGCTGGGGTGGGATACAGGCAATGCCAGGCTGGTTTCCTCGCTCTGTGTCACAAGTGTTGGAGGAGGGGGCATCTGCCACCCCCAGAATGTGGCAGGACCCGATGCCGGCTGCTCGCAGAGCTGCTCACGTGCTGTCACGTGCGGGTGATGGCTGAGCAGCTGAGGCACTTTGGCTGCTCTGTAATCCTCCTTGCCTGCAACCAAAGCTGGCCCAGGGGAGAAGCAGGCAGCTGGGATGCAGTGTCTGTCAGAAGCAGACACAAGGACCTCTCTCCCCTCCTCAGGAATATCTGCTGGTGGTCTTTAAATTAATGTGGTCTGGGGACAAAAGGGGCCCTCAAGGATCAGGATTAAACCCCCCTGACCCTCTGCTGCCCTGCAGCCGTGGGTCCTGCTGCTGCACTGATCTGGGACAAGCTGCTGTGCCCAGGAGGGAACGGTGGGAGCTGGGGTCTGGCAGGAAACCCTGTGGATGTTTTAGATGCTGACCATGGGCTAAGCCCTCCCGGATTTCACCCCCTTCCCACACTGCAGGGAGGAAAGCAGCACTCTGGCTCTCAGCTGAGAAGCCAAGGCGAAAGCATCCTCAAACAGCATCTTTCTAAACCCTGCCCATGGAAACACACTGCTTGTAGCATTAAATATGGCTGTGACAGCAAAACACCTTGTTTAAATATCTGGTGCACTGGGAGCCTGCCTGTTGCCTCACAAACAGGTTTGGTACAGCCAATCTCCTCATCCCTTCACCAGCCATCAATTTTAGGTGGCTCCTGACCCACTTCCAGCAGAGGTGGGGCTGAGCATGGGATGCTCCGTGGCTGGGACCCTCTCCCCTCTTCCTCCACCTGGGACTGTAAGCTAAGGGGATGCTTTTCCACAAGGTCCAGGGGACATTGGCCTCATCCATCTCCACTTCACACCACCACAGACTGGTAAGGATGGTCTTACACCAGTCACCCCACTGCCCTCCCTGAGGCTTTCCTGGTGTAAATGAGGGCATGGGAGTATCCTTCTTGTGATTCTAAGCACAGAGGGTTTTTTTTAGTGGAGGGACGCACCAGGCAGAGTACTGTCTTTTCCAGCAAACCATCCTGGGTATTAACTGTTGTTATTAATCGTCATTCCCCTCCAAACCCCCTCTCCCACCCAAGCACCGCACCTAAGGCAGGAAACATCTGGGTGACCATCGTGGGGATGGACATTGGGGACAGAGCCAGTTTGAGACACCTCTTTTCTTAGGCTGTGGTCCCTAGAGCAGCTAGACCCCAATGCCTTCCCTGCCTGTTCTGAGATTCAAGGCTGAGCATGAGAAGTGTCCTTGTGGAGGCTTCATGTTTTACTACAGAGCAATACAACCAGTCAGGATTGGGCATTACCAGCACTCGACTGGGTCAAACTGGTGCAAAAAGCAGTGAAGGCCCCCTTTGGTATGGAAGCAAAGTTTGCAGCTGTGCTAAGTGAGCTTCTGTTTACACCTCCCTCTTATTTACGCCGTGTGTGCCGGCACCTCCGAGGTGGCTCCTGCTTGGGGACGGGCTCTGACGCACACAAGCATCCTTGCCAACGGGAACCTGAAGCCCCAGGTCAGGCAGGAGCAGCCAAGGAGAGCCTGCATGGGGGCTGCACTGAGCTACCCAGCAGCTTTTCCCCAGGGAGCAGCTCTCCTGCACCGCCGTTAGCTGGGCTGATTCGTTTGCTGTCGATCAGGGGTTATAGAAAATAAGTATGTGCAGATATTGCCGTAGCTCTGTGTAGTCCGTAGTCCATACAGCTGAGGGGGTGGGGTAGGTTCTGGTTTTGCTGGGAGGCTGCACTGCTCTGTGGGGTTGGGGCAATGCTTTCTGGGGTGCACCTCCACGTGCTCACACCAGCATCCTCCTGAGATGCTGGGGAGAGTAAAGCTCTTTGGAAACGAGTAACCCCCTTGACCTTACTACAAGCGCAGGAAATAACTTTCTAATCACTTTTCCTTGATCCAAAAGAATGAAGATTTGATGAGAAGCATCTGACTACTCTTTTTCCCCCCCTTCCTTTTGATTTAGGGTTTTGCATCACGAAAGTTGGAAATCTTCCAGCTTGCTAATTTTTTTTTCCCCTTCTTTTCCCCCTTCTATAAAAACTCCAAAGTGATGGAAGGAGAGTGCCAACGCAAATATTCTTGGCAAATTTTCCCAGGACCACAACATCCTTCCTGGCCTAGTCCTCCTGAGCTTGTTGCAGCCCTCGGTGTCCTTGCTGCCTGCAGCAGAACACCCTAGTGCCTCTCCAGTGGTGGCTGCTGCTTGACCCAGACTGTCACTCATCACAAGCTGCATCTTAAAATTAACTTGTGGCAATTTCTAGAGGCACCCCCCACCCAGGAGATGGCAATGGGTGG